CTGGCTGGGGGCGGCGGCCGGGAAGGGGGCGCCGGGTGTCCTGCTTGTCCTGAGGGCGGAGGGAGTGCGTGCTCCCGAGGGCGCCAGCTTCCAGTCGCCTCCCACCCGTCCTCGGGAGGATGCGCTGCGGGCACGGGCGTGTTCCAAAAAGTGCATGCGGCCGGGACGCTGTAGCACTGTCAGTTGACGTGACTTTTGGGTATTATTATTATTATTTTTAATGTGTAGTGACTTGAGAAAAGTATTTTCCAGCTTGTCATGGGTGATAGATTTATGTAGGATTTCAGTATCAGTATTGCAGTGAGTAAATTTCCGTGGTTGGTGCAGCCTTGCAAATAAGTGACCACCTGTCCACGTGCTTGAGGTCTGAAACTGTTCATTTTGAGCAATTTCTCTGAGATCAGCTGACTGCTGATTATAATCATACTAGGCCATGTACAGGTGTATTCTAAATTGGTAGGCAGAGATAAGAGCTAATGTTGAACAATTTACTCCTTAACGAGCTTTCCATCTTTGTGGTCATCTGTTATGATTAAACTCACCTCTTAATACGATAACATACTAGCTTTATTTATAGTATTAATATGTGTTCGTTTACATACTTAAACATAATTGTAGATATAATTTCAGAACCATTTAGTTTGGTTCTAAAGTTGGAGAATTAGGAACATAATAGGCATTGCTGAGAACTGATTGTTTGCCAGGCTGGTGCCAAAATGGTTTGTGTGCTTTATCTTGTTTAATCTTCAGAGTTAACTTTTTGCATAAACATATTTTGCAAAAAATATTTGAATATATGAGTTGGATTTGAATGTGACCAAACGTGGAATGTGAACATTATTTATTTCTGCTTATGTAAAATAAGGGTATTGGCCACATAAAATGACCCATAGAGTAAATGAATGTGATTTTCACGTTGGAAAAGGCTTTACAAATTCATAGAACTGCAATTAGTCCCTTTATTGCATAGTTTCCAAAGCCCATATGTCTTATTTACTTTGGTTTCCATTATGTAATGCTGTCCCCAATGAACTGGCTATGCTAGGACATAGGAAAAAGGTAAATGTTGGGAAAGCCCTAATGGCCTCTTCTTAAACGGCCGCCTCTTTCCATATTTAATTTCTAAGTGACATTCCTAATTAAAAGTGAACAAATGGTGTAATGAAACAAGACTAATTTTCTAATACTAAACTAAGGAAAGAAACAGCAGGCTGGCTATTTGTTCTTGAGTATAAAACCATTTTGCTGGGCGTACGAATGTTAAGGATGTTAGATTATTTGCATTGTAGGTAGTTGTGAAAGATATGTGTGCCTAAATTTTCAGTTTGTCTTTAAATATCTTAAACATATGCTCACTGTTGAGTCCAGTACTTGTGCATTAATGAGTTTTTTTATTGGATTTAATGAAGCAGTGTTGGCTTCCTTAATAAGTTTATTTCGACTATGTTTCCAAAGATGCAATGTATTGATTTCTATAGGCATGACTGTTCTAATTGTCATTGATTCTGAGATGAGGGTGGATTCAACAGTTTGCATCTTGTGAGAGGAAGGCTTGGAAGGACTGGAGAGAATGAGGAAAGTGCTTGGAGATGTGTCTTCTTTGTAATTAAAGCATTTTGGACTTACCTATTAGAAATGGCCCATCATTGCCAGGCTTGGTGGCTCAGCCTGTAATCCTACACCTTGGGAGGCTGAGGTGAGTGGATTGCCTGAGCCCGCGGGTTCGAAACCCGCCTGGGCAACTTGGTGAGACCTCATCTCTACAATAAATCAAAAAATTAGCCGGATGTGGTAGCACACGCCTGTAGTTCCAGCTACTTGGAAGGCTGAGGCGGAAGGATCGCCGGAGCCCAGCAGGTTGAGGCTGCGGTGGCCGGGAGCGGCCACTGCACTCCAGTCTGGGCGACAGAGTGAGACTCCAACTCAAAAAAAGAAAGAAAGAAAAGAAAAGAAATGGCCCATCATTGGGAAAAGGAAAAGATTGAGAACGCTTTGCCAGTCAGTACTTGCAAGGGGTTTCTTTACCTAAAGTCATTTCTTTGGGGAGTTGATGAGTGAAGCATTGTCATCAATAGAAGGATTTAGAAAAAGATGAATGTGGGGTTTTTTTGGAGTTAATTTGTGACTGATTCTTGCCACCACATGCATCTTCAGGCACTTTACCAGCTTTGGTATTTGTGGACAGTCACTAGGAGATGAAACAAGGAAGGGAAACAAGGTAGAGGTGGGCGGGGAAAGCAAAGCACAAGGGTGTACAAGCAAAGTGTCATGAGGCTTCGATATGGACAAAATTTATGATCTAGCCTCCATGTGTCTCTGTTATGAAAACCATTCCAATAATATTGACTGGATGTGTTTGTAAATCTCTTACATGTTATTTGTATCAAGAAGTATGAAGACTATCCCTTTATATGCTTTATAAGCAATGCAACAGGTTTAGAATACAGTATATTACAGTACATGATAAATTACTGAATTTCTCATGACAGCTATTTCTGTCTGTCTCTGTTGGGAAGCCAAGTGACTATAAAAACAGCATTGGCTCCTGTCTGTAAACAATTTAAGTGACATTGTGTTTTCTGTGATATGAAGACGAGCCCTTGTCATTCCTCACTTCAAAACTTGGCTCTCGTATGGAGCACCCTTTAAGCTCCTTGAGTGCAGGAACTTTTCTGCTTCACTTGTCTTTTTCTCTGGGTCTAGGACAGAACCTGGCAGGTGGAAGTTGTCTGTAAATATATGTGAAGTGAACAATACCTTAGACCCCTCTTCCCACTAGTGCAGATCCCACTTTCTGCGGGTGCAGGGCCTTTCCAGCCTCCCCTTCTCCACAGGATCTGCAGCCCACGATGAGCTTGTCCCATGTTAACTGTTTATACCACTCTCTTTGGCATTTAATCTTTTATGGCTATATATTGTTACATAAGTGTTTCATGTATTTTGTTTCTCCACCCAAAATATAAGCTTCTCGAGGCCAGGGGATATATATTTTGTAAATACTGTTTTTGAGAACTGCCTTGGTGTTTAGTATAAAATATATGCAGAGTAGGTTTATGTTTACCTATTGAGCAAGTGTTACATGCCTTGGGGAAAGAAACATTAAAGATACCCAAAATACAGAGTAATGTTTTAGTTGGGCAAACCTTGGATACACATGTGAAACAGTAAGAATTTGGAGCTAAATAAAACAAAATAGTAATGAGAGCTAGCAATTATGTAATATTTAAAATGTGAATCTCACAATAATCTTCTGAAGTAGATATGATTATCATCTCATTTTCAAATGAGGCACAGCAAAGGGATTCAGTTTCTTGCCCAAGATCATACTGCAAGTGAGAAGTAGTAGCCAGTCTGGCTCCAGCATCAGTATGGTTTTTCTGGGGAGTTTTCCTTTATACTTCAAAGGAAGATCTAAACATTTGCACTACTTTCACAGCTATAAAAGATACTCTTTTTGCCATTTTAGAGTATCAAAAAAAGATTGCAGTGACTCTAAGCTGCAGAAATAATGCTGGATTTTCCAGATAGAAGAGATTGATAACAAAATGGTTAAGGGAACACTGTATATTGAAATGACAGAGGAGAGAAACTGGATTTTGAATCTGAAAGCTGAATGAGGATTCTAAGTCTTTGTAGATGTTGAATTCTAGGATAGTGAGTCACTGAAACATAGGACAATGACTTTTTAAGTTACTAACTTGGTGTCATAAAATAATATTGAATTCAACTTGATACCTTACTGCATTTCTTTTTTTAAACACTTACTAGATTTGAAACTCTAGTGGTAGGAATGTATTGTAATGTGGGTGTTTCCTGTGCACTTCTGTCCACTTGCTTTGTTCTTTGTGGAATCTTGATCCACCTTTTCAGCTTGTATTGATCAATAGAGAACACTATTTGGATTAGGAGTCCTCTTCAAACCAAGTAATATGTTTTTGGTGGAAAAAAAAAAAAGTAAAGTTGTGCAGTTGATTTGGTGACACACCTGGAATGAATTCTACAGCATGAAGCTGTGTAAAATTAGCTGAAGGCCTACAGACAAAATTCAACAAGATGAAAAAACGGTATTCTCTGAAAGTCCTCCTGTATCTCCCTTTTGTTGGGCGCTGGCAGTGCTATTTTGAGGGCATTGAGGGTCAACAGAGTCACTGAATCCAAGTGACTTCATGGATGGGGGAGTATATATATCATCACACCTGCTGTCCAAGAATCAGAGGAGGAAGTGCCTTTGAAGGAAGCATGGGCTGCAAGCCTGGCAAGCGACCAGGGAGGACACACGCAGGTACGGTATTCTGTCTTATAAGTCACTTCCCCTGGGAAGGATGTCATGCCATTTGTCTTGAGGGTAGCTCATAATTTGAGTCATTGAAGAAATGACATTCTGCTTTCATTTTAACATCCATATTTTAGAATGGCCTGCATAAAAGTAACTTATAATTATGACTATTATCCTATGGCTGTGTTCTCTTTAAGTGTCTGAGAAACTAATTTGGAATGTTTTTGGTGGGAAAAAGAAAAGTTAAGGAAATCTCTGTTGTTGTGTTTATCCAGTTAGCATGTTAAGCTTAATCTTAATTTTAGGCCCTTCCTTGAATGGGAAGTTTTTAGAGAAAGAGAAATGATGCACCGATTTATTTTAAGCCTATCAAGCCAGGATAGTTTAATGGAATCTCTACTACCCTCATTTTGTAAATTTTAGGGTTG